AGGAGTACATTGTGTCCAAATATGCCGAACGCAAGTATGTCCTTCGCAGAGAGGAAACAGATCCGTGTCGTCTGTATGACACAGTGAGGAGTCGTGACCTCACTTCTCTTCTCCAGCTCTACGCTGAGGGAGTGGACCTGACAAAACCACTTGTGCTGCCCGATGGACAGGTGGGTGTATTGGATGGGAGGGAATATTTATATACCTATTTAAGTCCAGCTACATTAGTTGTGAATGTGATGTATTAGTCTTGAATGGCAGTTACACCCTGCTTTCTTAATGCCACATTTTTGACATATTTACATTAGTCACAGTTGCCTTGAAACTGTCTAAAAATAGACTGGATCCCTCCTAGTGTTGAAACTGAAATGACATACAGTATGTAGGAGGTGTGTGGAGAGTTTCAGTATGTGAAGCACGTATTCATTGTCCCATAGTTGCATGCTTCATGTGGGTGGGTTGTCGGACACACTTGCATCTCTTAAGCTTCTAATCACTCCCTTTTTTCCCATTTCCTCATCCTCTCATCTTGCCCTCTCCTCCGCTGTCTCCCTTCAACCTCATAATTTCAAAATTCTACCTTTAATCATGAACTTCCTCCTAATCAAAAGTTTGTGTGATTTCACAAACTTCAGTGGGAGCGTGAGGGTCACTTTGATTACTTGAATGGAAACCCTTTGTTGAGACTGTGCAAGTATTTTCTAATACCAATAACATCTATTTTAATCTCACATACATTGGTTTTAAAGGGAATTTAAATCAACTATTTTGACATTCATAAACAGACGATGCTGAAGAATTAATGTTCTACGACAAACAACGCAAACTAGTCCTGGACTGTCAAGCCTCCCTAAAAGAGCGCAGTGATACCTTTCCGTGTTTCTAGTTCCTTCAGTAGAAATACAAATTCGTTATATTTGAATTTTTCCCCAATAAAGAGATACATTTGCCAACAATCCAGACATCAAAACAATAGCCTTTTCATTCTACCAAATAATTTATGCCACATGTCATAGAAGTAAAGAAAAAAATCTCTTGTGCGTTACTGTATGTTCCCTTTTCTTCAGGGAACCAAAGAGACGGCTCTACATATGGCTGTTTGTCTGGAGGAAAGGAGTTCTCTGGGTTTGGTGGATTTTCTTTGCCAGAACGGGTGAGATACTGGCCGCAATATGTCTATTGTGATTAAAATCTCTTTAGTATGAATAGTTTCAGTGTTATTTTATGTGTACTGTATGGTCGTTCTATAGCAACTGTCTGGAGAAGAGAACAACAGAAGGAAACACAGCTCTACACTACAGTGTCCTGCATCACAAACCTGAATCTCTTAAGCTCCTCCTTAAAGCAAAGGCAGCTCTACACACAGGTATGTTTCACTAACAACATTAAAACATTATTTCCTTGTATTTGTAAATCATCAGATACCATTAAT